GCCTAACCACAAAAGAGAACTACAGGCCAGTCTCCCTAATGAACATAGATGCAAAAATCCTCAATAAGATACTGGTGAACAGAATACAGAGGGTCATCAAGTTCACACAACCTGACCAAGTTGGATTTATCCCAGGGATGTAAGGATGGTTCAATATACATAAACCAATACATGCAATACACTATATTAACAGAGTCAAGGACAAAAACCATATGATCATTGCAACAGATGCAGAAAAAGCATTTGACAAAATTCAACACCCATTCATGATGAAAAAAAGTCCTTCAGAAAATTGGAGTAGATGATCTCTATATCAACTTGATAAAGGCTATCTGTTAAAAGCCAACAGCCAAGATCATACTAAATGGTCAAAAACTGAAAACCTTTATGCTAAAATCAGGAACAAGACAAGGATGTCAACTATCACCACTCCTATTCAATATTGTTTTGGAAATATTAGTCACAGCATTAGACAAGAGAAAAAAATAAAAGCAATAAAGTAGGAAAGGAAGAAGTTCAACTGTCATTTTTTGTGATGATATGATACTTTACATAGGAGAACCAAAGAACTCCAAAGGGCTTCTATACTTAATTGAAAAATTCAGTGAAGTAGCTGGATACAAGGTAAACACTCAAAAATCAATAGCCTTCTTGTACACAGATAATAGGCTCACTGAGAGTCAAATTAGGGAAATAATCCCTTTCACAATATCATCCCAAAAAATGAAACATCTAGGAATCAATCTAATAAAAGAAAAAAAAAAGACCTCTATGTTGAGGACTACAATACTGTGAAAAAAGAGACTGAAGAGGATATAAGAAAATGGAAAGACATCCCTTGATCCTGGGTAGGAAGAATTAATATAGTGAAAATGGCTATACTTCCAAAACTGCTATTCAGATTCAATGCAATCCCTATTGAAATTCCAACAGTATATTTCATAGAAATAGAGAAAACAATCCAAAAAATCATTTGGAACCAGAAGAGACTTAGAAAAACAAAATCAACTGTAGGCAACAGAGATATGGTAGGGGTTATCACAATCCTCAACTTGAAACTGAACTACAAATCCATTGTGATAAAAACAGCATGGTACTGGCAAAGTAACAGACCCGAGAATCAGTGGAACATATTAGAAGATGCAGAAACAACTGCTGACATACTCAGCCACCTCATCTTTGACAAAAGAGCCAACCATCCTCACTGGAGGAAAGATAGCCTCTTTAATAAATGGTGTTGGAAAGACCAGATTTCATCTTGTCAAAGATTAAAACTAAACCCATATCTTTCACCATGCACTAAACTAAATGCCAAGTAGATTAAAGGTTTAAATATTAAAATAGAGACACTAAACTTTCTGGAAGATAAGTTAGGTAGAACTCTTGAAGATATTGGCATAGGAAAAGATTTTATGAACAAATCCTCAGTAGCACTGGAACTAGCCCAAAGAATCAACAACTGGGATCTTATCCGTTTAATATGTTTCTGCATTGCCAGAAAATTTACAAGCAGAGCTAAGAGACAATGCACAATATGTGGGCAAAAAATTTTACAAGCTGTTCCTCAGACAAAGGTTTGCTCTCTAGAATATTTAAACAACTAAAAAAAAAAAAAAATCCAACTTCCAAATATAAAGACCAGATTCAAAAATGGCCATCTGAAATGAACAAAGTTTTCTCAGATGAGAAGTAAAAGCAGCAAATAAATATATGAAAAAATGCTCAACATCACTGATCATCTGAGAAATGCAGGTGAAAACAACACTGAGATTCCACCTCACCCAGAAAGAATGACTGCTATCACGAAATCAACCAAGAACAAATGCTGGTGGGGTTGTGGGGAGATAGGAACCCTTCTCCATTGTTGGTGGGAGTGCAGACTGGTTCAACCACTGTGGAAATCAATATGGAGATACCTCAAAGAGCTAGGATTAGAAGTCCCATTTGACCCAACTATTCCTTTGTTGGATATCTTCCCAAAAGAATTAAAAGGATTATACCACAGCAGTATATGATCACCCATGTTTATAGCAGCACAGTTTGTAATAGCTAAAATTTGAAAACAGCCCAACTGCCCATCAACTGGAGACTGGATAAAGAAGACGTGCTTTTTTTTTCCCCTAAATAAAATGGAGTACTACTCAGCCATAAAGAATGAGAAAGTAGAGATATTTATAGCTAAATGGATGCACATTGGGGCCATACTCTTAAGTGAAACTAATAAGTCACACATGTGTAAATACCGAATAGTTTCTCTGGTGTGAATAACTAAAAGTGTAAATAAGGATCAAAATGTATAATTGATATTGTGTAATAGGAAGAAAAGGTCTAAAAGAGTAGAACAAGTAGGGAGGGTAGGGGAAAGGGAAAAGAAAAATTATGTAAAAATGAAAAACATGGAAACAATGTTTTTGTAAACAGGGAAGGGTCAAGAGTGTGAAGGGTGGGCTGGGAAATAAAAAAAATAAGAACCAATATAAGCCTTATGAAGATACAAGATCCCAGTGATGAATGTAACTGTATTGTGTAACAAAAATATACCAATAAATTTAATAAAGATTAAAAATAATTAATTGAGCACCTACTACACATTAACCAAGTGCCTTGCATTCTATTATGTAGTCCATTTAACTCTGATGACAACTGAGAGAAATAGTTTTAATTATTCCTATTTTATAGATGATTAACCAGGCTGGTTTACTTTTTAACCCCAGAACTGTTTTATTTCACAGTTTATCTTTCCATATAAGCTTTTCAGTATTTTATGCTCATTTCCACACTTGGATTAAGTATTAAGTGTTAAGGGGAGAGGGAAGGAATGTAACTTCTCTTGCTTCTGACAGGATTGTGTCTGGACAGTATTTAACGACTTGATCCTAAGTTTTTCCTTGTGAATTGTTTCCATCTTTCTCACGTGGAGTAGGAAAGCAAAGTTCATTTGTGATACTTCTCTGCATTATGGGATATGACTTATTCCTGGCTGCTTAGCTGTTGAACAAGATCAGCATGGATGTTTCCAGTTTAAAATTACCTGAAAAAATGGATGGATAAATTTAACTTGGATATTTGAGCAAAGAGTTTCTGTCTACCTGGTATCTGAAGAAGATAGGCACCTAGAACACGAATTAGTATTGCTGGCTACCATTTCAGCAGAACAGAGGCTCAGTGGAAGGAAATAGAGGCAAGTGACCAAGTTGATTTAGACAGTGGCTCCTGGAACCCAAAGATAAGCAGGCATCACCAAAAGGTAGTTCGCTCTGGACATTTGCAGACAAAATTTCTGAGAGTTCAAACAACTGTGTCTTTCCGTTCTTCCCGCGAGGTCCAAGCATGAAGGAGCAGAATGATGGTTGTACCGTACAGTTTGGGCTGTCTGTCTGTCTGTGTGTCTGTCCCTCTCTCTCTCTCTCTCTCTCACTCTCTCTCTCTCTCTCTCTCTCTCTGGGTGCACTCATCAATTTTGTGTGCTATAAAGGCAAGCTGGCATCTCTGAAGAGAAGGAGAGAAGATAAAAGGATTTGAGGAATGCCTCTGAGTCATCTGGCAAAACAAGAAAGTCAGGAAGAAGTTTCTGAGGAGACAACAGGAATGAGAAAGGTGTCACGTCTTGCAGCTATAGAAGTGCAGCACAAAAATAAAAATCAAGAGCACACATAATACTACCCTCATAAATGATAATTCTGGGCAGACTAAATAAACATAAACTATCAGCCCCCCAAGGAAAATGAAAAATGAGGTGATTTACTAGTGGTGGCTGCCGTGAGTGTATTCTCCATGCATTCCGTGGTGAGAGGTTAAAGGCAAAACTACGTCATGTTAGGACCGTAAGCCCTCTGAGGGCAGGGGTTATAGCGCACGACTTCCTATCTCCAGAAGCAGGCTCAATTCGGAAAACATCAGTGTCTGTCGAATAAAGAAATCTAACTACACATTCATGCTCAGACCACATTTTAGAATGGTGGCAGTATACACAGAAATATTTCCTCCAGGAATAGCAATCTGGAATGAGTAACAGAGTTATGAAATCGTGAAAACTGGTGCTACATACAAGGGATATTAATTCTAGGACCCCATGGATAACGAAATATGCTGATGCTCAAGCCAGTTATGTAAAACAGTCCAGTATTTGCATATAGCTCATAAATATTCACCCATATGCTTTAAATTATCTCTAAGTTACTTATAATACTTAATACAAGGTAAATACTGTGCAAGCAGTTGTTATACAGTATTATTCAGGGAGCTGTGACAAGGAAGAGGTCCATGCATGTTCACTATAGAAGCAATTTCTTTCTAACAGTTTTAATTCATGATAGGTTGCATCTACAGATGCCGAGCTCATGGATACAAAGGGCTGACTTCAATAGTTTTGTTACAGGAAAGTAAGGAAATCCATAAATAAAAATTTGTTACAATGTGGATGGAACTGGAGGTCATTACGTTAAAACATAACGAAACACAGTGAAACAAACCAGGCACAAAAAGACAACTATTGCACGGTCTCATTTATCCCTGGAATATGAAAAAGTTGGTATCATAGATGTTGATGATAAAATGGTGGTTGCTGGAGGGTGGAATCTGTAGAGAAGGGAGACAAAGATGATTTGATCAATGTGTGCCAAGTGACAGGAATGAAAAGTTTAGTGTGTTATTTCACAGTAGAGTAACTATCAGTAGCAAGAATATGCTATTTCAAAAGCTAAAATAAAGGTTTTGAATATTTTCATAATAAAGAAATGATGTTTGAAGAGATGGCTACATTTACCTTGATTTAAACATTGCACAATGTGCACATGTATATTGAAATGGACGTGATAGTCCATAAAGAAGAGAATTTTATATTTAGATGCATCACTAAATATATTTAAATATAAATGTAGTAATGTTTAGTTTAACTACATAAATCTATTTCCTTTTTTTCAGTTTTGTAACTTAATTTGAAAGTTAGTTCTCATCCGCATTCACTGTCTGGAGATTTTTGAACATGGTAACAGGGATGTAAAAATATAGAATGCTTCACGAATTTGTGTGTCATCTGTGCACAGAGGTCATACTAATCTTCTCTGTATCATTCCAATTTTAGTATATGTGCTGCTGAAGCGAGCACCATAAATCTATTTCTATTCATCTACAACATCAGCTAAATACAGAGAACTTCATTTTGCCTAAATGCATAGTAATGGAATTATACTCAAGTGTATCATGGTGAACGAATTGGATGGACGCGGGGACCACCTTGGCATTGGGCAGGGTGGACTAGGCCAGACGTTCACAAGGTTTACTGAATCTCTAGCCATCAGACAGAGAGAAACAAGGAATTGCTTCTTTGGTTCCTCGAAATAAGATGGTCCTTCAGTGAACTCCACTAAGCAGGAGCTAATAGGTAGGGTGGGAGGGAGTTTCTGGGTCTCTGGTAGGTAGTGAGAAAAACTCATTAGGAAAAAAATGTGTGAGGTGTCTTGGAAAGAACTTATAAGAATCATTGAACTAAGTGTCATAAACTTTTCAGGAAAATCAGAATCAAGGCTATTCTCATAAGAAACAGAGAGTGCATTTTTAATGGATGATTTATGCATCTTTTTAATGGACATTTGAGAAGGGTTTGAACTCTGTCCTTGGATAAATGCACTCAAGCAAACATTAAATAATTTCATGAAATTCTTCAAATCCTCTAAAGTCTATCAATGAACTCATATGGATTCCATAAAAATAAGGCTAAGAAACCTTGCTCTAGTGCTTTTTATATCTTGAGTTGAAGCTAAGCAACACCAAAGGGGGAAACTGATGTTTTTGTGTATGTTTCTTAATCTAAGGTTTTAATTCCATAAGCGTGAGAACTTTAGGGAGTCCAAATTACAGAGTTTAACTTTTAACCAGATAAAATGTTTAAAACATTTTATATAACATTGAAAAAATTTTTCTGGAACTTTTATTGAGACTTTTGAAGCTTATTTAAACTAAATAATTAAAATATATTGCCGCTATGAAGGTTTAAGTTAAGAACTCTGCTATATCAAAAGTCAGAGTCAAGCAATTTCTAAGAAAATTGGACAGAATAAACTGAAGATCACAGAAATATTTCATCTAGGAGTGACAGTCTGAAACGAGTAACAGAGGTAAAAAATTGTAGAAACATTGACTTAAGAGCAATATAAAGGAAACAGGAAGGTGATTAACTCAAATAAAAATGGACCAGTTTGACAGAGAGAGAGAGAGAAAGGCAGGGATGGAGACAGAGACCTGGTTGCCTTAAATTCTCTAGACAGCTAATTTCCCTATATACACTCTAATGAATGGAAACAAAAGGAAAACTGCCAGAGGCACCAAAATCAGCACAGAAGGCCTAAATCAAAGCATGAAAAACTAAAACATCTTAGCACCTTTGTTAAATTTTCGGTATGTGTGAAAGACATCTTTTAACCCTGTTGCCATAATGGGAATTATATGTGACTGGAGCACCTGATTATAAGTGCTGTATCGTGAAACCTCTTGGATCATAATGGAAGGGCTCCCAGGAGCCAGATCCTTGGCCAAAAGGCATCAAACCCCAAGAAGTACAAAAATCCTCTGTAGAAGGATGATGTCAAGACAAATGAGGGGCCCGTAAATAGCGTTGGGATATTGTTCTTACAGATTTTAAACTCCTGACGGATGAAGAGAGCCCAAGAAGTTTGTCAATACACTTAATATAATTTCTAATGGTTTCGAAGAAGGAAGTCATTTTCAGTCATAAGCAAAGAACATAGCCTGAGGGGTAGGGAACCAAAACAATCTTCTTAGGGCTTTGTAATACCTAAAAAGATGGACAGTGGACAAAATTAAACTACCCTTATGAGTAATTTTAAACCAGCCTGAAGCAGAAACTGTTTGCAGAAATTCTGTGATTCTTCACTATCATCATAGATTAAATTCTGTGTAGTTTGTTGCTTCAATTTTCACAAAGTTGGGATCTTTCCTAGGACCCTAGGTGCAAATATTATGAGTCCATTCAAAGCAGTGAAGAATGAAAGACATCACTGTGCGGTAGAAGCCATACATGCAACCTCAAGCCCACTGGAGAGACCCCTGCGGAGCAGTGACCTACTTACCCCCACCCTATGGTCTTTAAAATGTTGAAATTGCATTCTAATTTTTTGGTTTTATCTCCAGTAGACACTTCGCTTCATTTTAAAATGTAAGCACCTTTTGAAGGAGAAATACTTCCTACTTTGTCAATTGTTTGCAAACTGTCATCGATTATATGTTAGATATTTTCCTGAAATTCTGTCTCCACAGAGGTGAGGCCTTCAGGGCTGTAGCAGGAGGGAGAAGGACTGTGTAGTGAAATTATTAGAAACTGTACTGCAGTGTACATGTCATGGTCACTGCCTGAGTCACCAGTGATCTCTTAAAACATACACAAAACCAAGATACTCAAAGTTATATTGGCAGTAAGAAAGGTACCAGCTCTGTTAAGGAAATTAAAACTCTTAAAAACAAACCTCTGGGCCCACATGACATCATTTGACAATTATACCAAATGCTTAGAGAATAATTAATTTCAATTTTATACAATCTTTTCCAGAAATATAAGAGGATTGAGGACTTCACTTTATGAGGTTAGTATTAGGCTGCTACTACCATCAGAGAAAGATAGTAAAAATGAACACAACAAAGAAAACAAAAAGAAGCTACAGATTAATGTTTCTCATGAATTTAGATGCAACAGTTCTCAAGTAAATATTAGCAAATGAAATTCAGCAATATCTAAAAAGCATGATTTATTTTAGACACGCAGGGTTGATCCAACATTGAAAATGGATTAATGTAATCCAGCATATCAATAAGCTAAAGGAAAACATGTATAGTCACGCCTGTTGATGCAGAAAAAGCATTTAATGAAATGTAATACTCATTTTGATTTAAAAGACAACCTCTCAGAAAATTAGGAATAAAACATATCTTCTGGAAATGGAAGGGAAAACCTTGTACGAAACCCTAGCAATTAATGTCATACATAACAGTGAATACAAGTAGTCTCTGCTTACTGGTGGTTTAAAACTAATAATAAAGGTTGTTTATTGTGTCCATTTTATAAGTATATTACAAAGATCTAATCGTGAATAGACTAAATGGTTTTGCCCTAAGGTTAGGAAGAAGGCAGGCATGTCTTCTCTCACTATGCGTGTTGAACAAAATGTTGGACCATGTAGTCATCACAGTTGGGTGGGGTGTGGAGGCACCCACATTGAGAGGAAGAAGCAAAATTATGGTCATTTGCAGATTATTTGATTGTCCATGTAGAAAGTCTCAAGGAATATACAAACCATATGTATAAGTAAGGATAAGAAAGGATAGATCGATGTAAAATCTAAATGAGTGACATTTTTTATAAACTAAGAACAAAAAATACACAACATATGAATTCTCAAAAGTTCCAAAATGCTGATGGAAGAAATCAAAGATCAAAATAAGTGAAAACTCAGTCAATGCTATGAAATGGAAGATGTAACCCGATAAAGATGCTTGTTTTCTCAAAACTGATATATATATATATATATATATTGAATAAAATTTCTATCAAACAGTTGCTTTTGGTTGACAAGTTCTAAGATTTATATTTATTTATTTTCATTCTTTAAAAATTGAGTTTATTGGTACATTCTAGGTATACAGTACAGTTACATTCATTACTGGAATCTTGTGCCTTTACATGACAGGTCTCGGTTCTCATTTTTTCCCTTGTCCCTGCCCTCCCTTCACCCCCTCATCCCCTCCCCATTTACAAACACTTTATTTCCATTTTTTCATTCTCTCATATTTTTTTATTTTACCTTATTACCTTTCCCCTACCCTTCCCAGTTTCCCTACACCTTTAGCCCTTTTCTTCCTATTTCACATGGTCAATTATCTCATTAGGATCTTACGTACTATTATAGTTTTTCACACCAGAGAAACTATTTGGTATTTACACATATGTGACTTATTTATTTCATCTAAGATTTGTATTTAAAGGCACTGGAGATAGAATAGCTCAATTCTGAATCACAAGTATAAAGAAGTAGTAAATATTCTGTCTGATGAAGGTGTTTATTGTGTAGTTGCTGTAGCTGAGTCCTCTTAGACTGATCAATACATCAGAATCAAGAATTCAGAAATACATCCCAAGACGCTCAAATGATTTTGGCCTCTGGCCAAATTCATGTCGAACGGGATGGCTTTCAACAAATGACTTTGCATAGAGAATCATATGTCTACAAGCAGAAAACAAACAAAACCCATATATTAAACCTCACACCTTATATAAAAAAGAACTCAAAATAGAACCAGTACTAAATGTTAAACATAACTTAAACTTTCGGGAAAATTCTTCATGACTAATCCTAGACACCAAAATCATGATCCACAGCACGGGCAATTGGTAGAGTGAACTTCATTATAGTCAATACCATTCCTGCACAAAAATAATAAATGAACAGAGAGAGAAATCAGTGAAACAATAACTTTCACAATAGCATACAAAAAATGAAATACTTAAAAATAAATCTCACAAAGGAAGTAAAAGATCTTTCTGTTGAAAATTACAGTATTCTGAAAAAGAAGGTTGAAGAGGATATCAGAAAATGGAAGGATACTCCTTGCTCATGGGTAGGAAGAACCAACATAGTAAAGTGGCTGTACTCCCAAAATAGTTACACAATTTTAATGCAATCTCAATAAAAATGCAATTAGCATACCTCACAGAGTCAAAGAAATCATTTCTAAAATCCCTTTGGAATCAGAAGAGACCTAGAATAGCAAAAATAATTCTGGAAAACGAATGCAGTTTAGGAGGCATCACAATCCCTGACTTGAAATTATACTGCAGAGCTTCTGTGATAAAAACAGCATGGTACTAGGAGAAAAACAAAAAAACAACAACAATAACAAAAACAATCCGAAGATCCATGGAACAGATTAGAAAATGCAGAAAGATCCTTAAACACTCTCAGCCACTTTATCTTTGACAAAGGTACCAAGCATATTCACTGGATGAAAGATAGCTTCTTAGCCGGGCATGGAAGCGCAAGCCTGTAATCCCAATGCTCGGGAGGCTGAGGCAGGAGGATCGCTATTAGTTTGAGACCAGCCTAGGCTAAATAGTGAGTTACAGGTCAGTCTCCACTACACAGTGAAACCCTGTCTCAAAAAACAAAACCTAGCCGGGGGATTTAGCTCAGTGGTTCTGCCGCCTGCCTGGCAATTGCAAGGACCTGAGTTCGATCCCTGGTACAAAAAAAAAAAAAAAAAAAAAAAAAAAAAAAAAAAAAAAAAAAAAGAAAGAAAGAAAGAAAGAAAGAAAGAAAGAAAGATAGCTTCTTTAATAAATGGTGCTGGGAAAACTGGCTATCTATATGCTGAAGAGTAGAACTAGGCTCATATCTCTCACCATTCATTAAACTAAAATTAAAATGGATCAAAGATCTAAATATTAAAACAGAAACACTAAATCTGCTGGAAAAGAGAATAGGTAAAATGTTTGAAGATATAGGAGTAGACAAAAATGTCATGAACAAAACTCATACTGCACAGCAACTACTAGAAAGAATCAAAAACTGGAATCTCATCTTACCAAAAAAATTTTGCACAGTGATCGCTTAAGCAGCACATATAAAATTGGTACAATACAGAGAAGATTAGCATGGCCCCTGCACAAGGACGACATGAAAAGATATTGCATAGCAAAAGAAATCACAAATGGAGTAAGAAAGCAACCCACAGAGTGGGAAAAAAATTTAGCCAGTGGTTTCTCAGACAAAGGACTAATATCTAGAACATACAAAGAATTGAAAAAAGTCAGTCCACCCAAATTTAAAGACCCAATTCAAAAATGGGCCTCTGAGATGAATACACACTTCTCAGATGGAGAAGTAGAAACAGCAAATGAATATATGAAAAAATATTCAACATCACTCGTGATTTGAGAGATGCAAATTAAAGCAACACTGAGATTCCATCTCACTCCAGAAAGAATGGCTGTTATCAAGAAATCAACCAACAACAAATGCTGGTGGGGCTGTGGGGAGAAAGGAACCCTTCTCCACTGTGGGTGAGAGTGTAGACTTGGGTAATTGCTGTGGACATCAGTGTGTAGATTCCTCAAAAAACTGGGATTAGAGGTCCCATTTGACCCAACTATTCCTTTTCTGGGTATCTTTCCAAATAATTGAAACCATCATACCACAGCAATATATGCACATCCATGTTTATAGCAGCACAGTTTGTAACAGCTAAATCTTGGAAACAGACCAAATGCCCATCAACTGATGAATGGATAAAAAGATGTGTGTGTTTTTTAAAAAAATAATGGAGAACTATTCAGGCATAAAGAAGGATAAATGAGACATTTCTAGGTAAATGAATGCACCTTGAGAACATACTCTTAAGTAAAATAAATTGGACAGACATATGTAAATATCACATTGTCTTCCTGGGGTCAAAAACTGAAAGTGAAAATAAAGACAAAAAAGAATAAAAATATTACAAAATAGGAAGAAATTGTTCAAAATTATATAGAATGTGAGATACTTTGCAAATACTTAAAATGTTTTATGCAGAAATGGTATATATTATTAGGAACTGTATATAGGAAAAGAGCTGAGAGATTAGCAAATGAAAACATATTCTTTTTAAATCATGATACACGGTGCACTTACCATTGTTTTACTCTAATCATTTTGTCATGAAAAGTTATCTTTTCATAGAATGGCTTTTATATTTTATTAATATCTACTTGTATTATATTAAAATAAAAAGTGGCAATTCATGCCAGCACTCAGATAAACAAGAAGCTGGGATATTTCATAAAATAAAAGTTTTATAGTAACTGTAATAAAATGTTTTTTACAAATTTATTTGGTAGAAGGAAAATAGAAACAATCAATTCATTAAAAAAAAAAACAGGTAAAAATTTCCTTTAGAATAGATTCTGAAAATCAGATGAAATGACAATCTACAAGCTAGGTAAAATATTTATACACTACATACCTGACAAAGGAATTGTTATGTCCAGAATGTGCCAAGAACTGTCAAAACAACAGGAGAAACAATTCAGTCAGAAACTGGCTAAAAGGCACACGCAGATTTCACTGAAGAGAATGCTGTACATAAATGGCAAATAAGCATGTGGAAAATATTTTACTTCATTAACCATTAGAGAAATGCAAGTGAAAACCACAATGAGATATTGTTACGTATATCCGAAGAGCCAAGCAAAAAAACAGTAAAAACATCAAATGTGGTGAGGATGCAGAAGAAAATTATTCACGCATTTTGGTCAGATTATAAAATGGCACAGGCACTTAGAAAAAAAAATGCCAGGTTTTGCAAAGATAAATATGTGTCTTACATGTTTATCATATCCAGAAATAGAATTCTTCGGCATTCATCACAGAGAAAATGAAGCAAACATGTTCAGAAATGTTCATAGCCATTTTATTCGTAGTAGCTCCAATTTGGAAACAACCTCAATCTCCTTCATAGGGTGAACAGGTAAGGAAACTGTGACTCACCCATACCATAGAATGCTACTCAGTAATTAAAACCTCCGAACTGCTGAAAAGCACACTTTGGCAGGATCTTTAATACTTTCTTTCTTTTTAGTAAGACATTTATTAGTACATGTTAGCTATACATAATGTACCATTCATCATTCGCTTCTTTTTCCCCACCCCCTTTAGACGCTTTTTCCCTCCTTGTACACAAAAGCTTTGATTAGAGTGAAGAATTCAATTTGAAAAGCTGCCCCATTGCACGACATAGCGTGGTTCTTGAATACATAAAAGTGTGGAGAAGGATAGCAGTTCAGTGGGTATCCGAAGCTGGAGGAAGACTGCAAAGAAGGTGGCTGTAACTAGGAGCGAAACATGAAGGATCTTTGTGACGGAACTGCTCTGCCTTTTGACTGTAGTATTGGTCACATGGTAAAACTGCATAGAATGAAATACATGCTCATGCGTAAGCACATGTAAAGGCGGCGATATCGAAGTAAAGTCAGTGAATCAAAAGAAAGGAAAAGAAAAACTACAAGATCATGAGATTAATTTGTTTTTTTTTTACTTCAGGTACTAGGAATCTAGGAATCGAACTCAGGACCCTGAACTTGCTAGGCAGGTGCGGTGCCAGCGAGCTACATCCCTGGCCCACCATGATGTTTAGGTAAGAACATCCCCATACGTTATTTCTGTCAGTAATAGCTACCTCCACCTTGCAGGACAGTTTTAACTCACAGAGATACAGTAGCATGAAAGGCTTGGTCAGCTGACTCAAAACACAAAACCTGCGTCCTTAACTGACTTTGCTATCTAATACCCTCGCCCTGATTCTGTTTCCAGTTCCAGAAATTTGAAATTCTGAGTCAGTTGAGATATAGACAGATAGTGGGTTAGCACATGGAGTAAACTCAGAAGAGTTAATGTGGAACTCGTAGACCTCGAGCAGTGATGAATCAGATTTGACTCCTCTCTCTGCTTTCTTCTTCCCCCTGCTTCCTTTCACCTCTTTGAGACATTCAGTCAGTCAACTAATTTCAATGTACAGTTGCTCAATGTATTTGGGTGCTAATCATCCCAGGTAGTAACCATGAGACACATGAGCTAACCTGACACTAACATTGAGTCAACGTCCTTGCGGAAAAGGAAGATGATAAGCGAGTCATCAGAGAAAGAAATTATTTTAAGGTCTCAGCACATTCTCCCAAGTATTGTACTCAATTGCACAAATTGCTTCACTATAGCAAATTCCCTAAGCTTTCTTAGAAATTTGATGATTTGAAAAAAAAAAAGTCAAAAGAAAGAAACAACATTCCATGTGCAGTCATGGAAAGAGATAAATTCTCAACAGTCCCCTGTGCTAGTTCATGTGTCACAGGGAGAAAGCGCTAGGAATGTCTCTTCCAGCTTCTCATTCTTAGAGTGAACGAGCTTGGAAAAGAACACTTGCCTTCTGGAACTATGGTAGGTTTCGTCACTGGCCAGGATAATAAAGATATTGTCTCCTTTTAGGATCAAGTTCAGAAGATTTGTTCGTTGTCCAGTGCAAAATTTTATCTTTCCTAAGCTAAGAGTTTCTTTTATGTAATGTATCAGACTGCATGTAAAAAGTGTAATCTATCATCACGTCATCCTAGGACATTTGGGACTTATGGGATACTTTCAAACTAACAACAATAATGATAATTATAGTGAGGATTCTGCTAGGTTTACAGTCTTTTGTCTCTCACCCAGGAGAGACTAACGTGTTAATTTGCAATTACCAGATTATGAGCTAACTTGTTTACTTTTGTATAATTACAAGTTCTTCACACCTGTTTATTCCGCATTAATAGTAATTCTGAAATTTCATCTATGTAACCAAGATTTACGTGATCGATTCCCCACCCCATCCCTCTAGATTTCTCCTTTATCTGCCCCCTAGAGTCTGTATAGATCTTAGAGGATCAGTAATGGATCAAAGGATAAACTAATTCAATTTCTACCTCCATAGATTTGCCTATTCTGGCCATTTCATGGAAATGAAATCATATAATATGTGGTAGTGGGAGCTGGTTTCTTTTACTCAGTATAATGTTTTCAAGATTCATTCATATTATGGCTTGGATCAGCCCTTTATCCTTTTGAATGTCTGCAAAATTACTGCATTTAATGGACATATAACATTTTGTATCTTCAGTTTATAGATAATCTAGTTATTTTTCACTTTGGGGTATTTAAAACTTGATTCTATGAATACTCATGTCCAAGCACTCATACGGCTGTATATCTGCAATTCCCTTGAGTATATGTGCCAAAGATTAAAACTATTGGGTCACTTGATAATCCCAGGTTTAATATTTTGAAAATTTTAAAATCTGATTCCAAATTGGCTATAGCACTTTAAATTATTACTTACAATGTATAAGGATTCCAATTTCTCTATATACTCATCAACACTTGTTATTGTGTATCTTTTTTTTTTACACCCATCCTCCCGGATGTGAAGTGATAACTCATTTAGATTTTGGTTTGCATTTCTGTAATGACAATCAGTGTCAGACATCATGAGTGGTATTTATTTGCCCTCTGTATATACTCTTTTGAGAAATGCCTATTAGGTTCATTGCACATTTTTAAAAATTGAGGTATGTTTGTTTCACTATTGAGTTCTAAGAGTTCTTTATATATTCTGGACACAAGTCTGTTACCAGATATACGATTTGCTGGTAGACAGGATTGTAAGTACTAACAAATATCATCTTTTATAGATGTGGAAACTGAGAACTAGAGACATTAAAAGACTCAAGAGTGAACAGTTGATGTTAGGCAGAAACAGAAATCCTCTCCTCTCTCTTCTCTCTCTCTCTCTCTCTCTCTCTCTCTCTCTCTCTCGCTGAGTATATATCCATATTCAATGGTACAGCATTTTCCTAGCATGTGTGAGAGGTCCTGGCTTCCATCTCCAGTATTACATACAAAAACAGTCTTCCAATTTGTTATTTCTTTACTTTAGCACGTCAATATACTAAACTCTCTTCTGAAACAGCATAAATGTCTTAACTCCACTGAGCCCCACATTAAGAATCACCAAAGAACTCTACTGTAATTTCATTTAACCTTTCCAACCAAGGAAATCTTTTCCATCGAAGTACTTTCTAACAGACCACTTTCTGATATTTTTATAGACTTTTGCTCAGCAAGAGACCCATCATTAGAAGGAAA